CTATTGAGTGCTGCCTAAGGCTTACTTCCTAGATGGCTCCTTATGGCTCAAATGTGGCCATAAGCTCTCTAAAAGCATATCTCCTGCACAACCACCTCTTTTCCTCCTCCATGGGACATGATTCTCTGGGAATAAGTCTTCCCAGCACCAAAGAAGTCCACGCTGAAGCCAAGTAAACAAATGGTTGATCACCAGTGTTTTCCCCCAAAAGATCTCGAACATAAGGGGGAAATGTGAACGGGAAGTCAAGAATTAAGAATTGTGACTTATGCACGTCTCTGCTCAAATGGGTTCTGAACTTTGACCAATTATTTTCTTAATATCGACATCTAGAACATCTGCCCAGTCTTCAGACTCAAGATACATATCAGACCCTTACCCTAAAGTAATTTGTGACTACCTATCTACTTATTGGAACCTTACCCTTAAAAAATCATGACAACCTATCTCTTAAGGACAATGATTTCCTTTCTTTTGTCAAAGTCAATCAAAATTCTTGCCAGATAACATTAACAGCCTTGTGGGTTTTGTCTTTATAAGCTCCTGACTCTTTTTTTTTTTTTTTTGCGGTACGTGGGCTTCTCACTGCTGTGGCCTCTCCCGTTGCGGAGCACAGGCTCCGGATGCACAGGCTCAGCGGCCATGGCTCATGGGCCCAGCCGCTCCGCGGCATGTGGGATCTTCCCGGACCGGGGCACGAACCCGTGTCCCCTGCATCACCAGGTGGACTCTCAACCACTGCGCCACCAGGGAAGCCCTAAGCTCCTGACTCTTTCTCTTCCTTGGAACACTCTTTTGGTTTTATCTGAATTGGTATCTTCCAAACCACAATTCCTAAGACTCTAAAAAACTCGTCTTGCTGCAGGCTTCTGTGTTTCCATAGTCAGCATATTCTGCTCCCCTCAACCCGCTTAGGCTACACAGCTGTGCCCCGTCAGCCTGTGAGGTGTATATGAATACTTGGGGAGATTATCAGGAGACAGATTCCATATTAGTAGGTCTGGAGTAGGTCCCAAGAGTTTGCCTTTCTACAAGCTCTCTGCTGTTGGTCTGCAGACCACATTTTGAATATAGCAAGGGTGTCAAAGCTCTATCCCTATGGGCAGGGGCATCTCTTAAGACACAAGTATGCCATTAATTTCTCTTTGTTTTTCCCTTTTGTGTGGTTCAGAAATATTGTCAGGGTCCCCTGGACTCAGAGGAGGGAATATTCAAAAAAGATTGCTGACTCAGGAGGTAAATATCCTTCAGTGATCCTGTAGCCTCAGTGGCCTGTACAGAGATGACCTGGAGGGGACCACTTCAAACATCCTCAGAGTTACTTGGAAAAAGTAGAAAAATTTTCTGCCTTCACATTGACTGGAGGTTCAGACTAAGTCATTTCAGTTTTAAGGAAAATGAAGGCTCTCCTGGGGCCAGAGAATTTGGGAACGCTCGGGGGAAATGTTGGGACAATGTTGGTAGTGATGCCTAATGTCCATTCTCATTTTCTCTCCCCTCCCAATTTTTAGCTAAGACATGGCACCTAATGTAGAATATTGACTGCACCGAGCAGCTTCCTTTGCAACTTTGCAATAGGTGTGACCATATGACCAAACTTCCTTTGCAATAGGTGTGACCATATGACCAAACTTCCTTTGCAATAGGTGTGACCATATGACCAAACTCTGGCTGGTGGAACAGAAGTGGAAATAACATAGACAACATTTAGAACATTCCATTCAAAGAAAAGGGTGTGCTTTTACCTTCCCCTCTTGTCCTTAACTGGAAGGTGGACACAGCAACGACCCATCTGGGACATGGCAAATAAACGTGAGGAATGGCGGAGCGACAAGATAGAAGGAGCCCGAGTCCTGACAAAGTGGGACCACTGGAGCTGTACAACCCCCCAACCAAATCCTGTCCTACTAGAGCTTCCGTTTAGCATTATTGCACTTAATATTTATAGACACCTCGGTCAGGGAAATTTTGTACCTGCATTTCAGAGGCAGGGAGATTAATGTTGAGGGATTTACAGTAAATTGTTTGAGGTCACACCTGGTGAGTAGTACTTTCTTGATTCAGGTATTCAGCCTAAAGCCATACCCTCACCACTAAGTCAGTAGTTCCCAAACTATGCTTGGTGGAACCCCCAGGGGTCACAGAGGTCTGTCAAGGGTTGTCATGGAGGGAGGGTTGTGACTAAGAGGGGTAAAAGGGAAGGATTTTCCCTTGAGCTTTGGGACTAGCTCAAAGAGAAATCTAAGGAGACCTCAAGGCCAGGGATGAAGGTCAACCAGCTCTTAGGGTGAACTAGTAGCGAAGGGGTAAGGACAAAGGCCCAGACACAGCAGGCCTCCAAAGACAGATGGCGCCAGAGACCAGAGAACCCTGGCACTTGCGCTCTCAACACTCAGCACTGAGGCCTTCAGGCTCACACTCCCTCTCTGGGAATGTAAATCGAGCTGTAGACAAAGCTGTAGACAAAGCGCATTACCTATTAAAAACATATCTGAGTTTGTGTTTGGACATTCCTATCACATACAGACAGGTGCACACACATACACAAATCAAAGAAAAGTGACTTATAAAAGAAACACAGCATAATGTTTGTTGGGGCTGTCCCAGAGTGACACAATTCTAGGGAATATTTCCCAATGTCCTTCTCTATATTCTCTGGTTATTTATGTGGTCCTCAGTGAAGTTATCATAAACTTGGGGAAAACTAACAAGACCAATATATTTTTTTAAAGATCAATAGTCAGGAATATTTTTCAATGTCTCTTATTTTTATATTCTGAGCTTTCACACATACGTAAATGAGTTTTCTTAACAGGAGAAAACACTCTCAAGGGAAATTTTTTTTATTTGTTTATTTTCAGTTTTCTTTTAAGAGACAAAAAGTTAGCGATTTCTGTAACAAGGTTGTTCAAATAGATGTAATAAATCCTGTTACCAGGAATGGTCATCTGCCCATTTCCAGTCTGAGGACAGAACACTGTGTTGTCCCCGCAGACATTTCGCAAGCAGGAGAGGAGATCTTTGTGGGATAAATAGAGAGCAGCACCCATGAAAATCCAGCATCCCAGGCAGGTAGCGGCTCTGGATCCACTCCCCACATCCCGCTCTCCCAGGCAGTTAATCCGTGATGCTCCCACACTGAGAGCAAAGGGACCCCCTTTCCACGGTGGTTCTAGGACCCTGTACGGGGCCTGTGGAACGTGAGGCAGGAGGGAGGTGGGGGGACTTATGTCCGATGCTGGGAGTGTTCTGCCCCGTCTGAAGACCAGTTCTCTCTCTGGGTCTCAGTTTTCATCCTGCAAAGGGAGGGACATGCTACCAGGGCTTCTGGGAACATTTCGGCCTTTGACTCTGTGGGATTCTGATTCAAGCCAGCTGTGCATCCCATACAGCTGTGCATCCACCGTCAGGATCAGAACTTCCCTGAGGTCCGTGCAGTGCGTCTCCTTTCCTGGCACAGGTGATGCTCTCAGAGAGCCAGGTGGATGGAATTAGTGCACAATGTCCCTCTGGGCAGAGGCTGCGGGGTCTCTAAGAGAGTTTCCTGGGCTCCACTGTCCCTATAGGGTCCCCGGTCAAACAGACAGGAAGGTGCGTCTGTCCAGCAACTGAAAAGACAGACTGCTCAGAAACAGAGCCAGCTCTCCAATCCAGCCAAATAACAAAAGCACTATTTCTCCAGGAATAATTTGGGAGGAAAATGTTTAACTCTTTTTGAAAGAAACGACTGCATTGGCCCTGAGTAAACTAAAACTTGGGGCAATTGATCGCCCCTGTCCCCAGGCTTGTCCTAAGGCCTTTCCACTGGCCTCAGCTCAGCTCCCTCCCCTTCACTCCCCCCTCCTCTCCCCTCTCGTCCCCCTCCTCTGCCTCTTTTCTCTCTCTCTTCCTCTCTTCTCCCCTCCCCACCAGCAGCCCTTTCTCCTCTGAACTCTGAGATGAGGGGCCAGAGGCTGAAGGTAAGCAGTCCTGTTTGCTGAGGCCTCCAGCTTTGAGCTCAGCCTCTCTCGGACTTTCATGCAGTAGCTCTGTCCTCTGTCCCCTGTCTTCAGGGATCACAGCTCTGGCTTGTAGGGTCCTAGAGAGGGTGGCATGTGGAGGAGATGACACCTCTGGAACTCCTCTTATGAACCCAGCACCTTCATACTTTATGTCACCTGAGCCATTCAACATGGACAGAGATGGGAACTGAGGCTCAGTCACTTGCTTGTCACACACAGCACTCACAAATGGCCAAAATGAAATCCTTGCCCAGGACTCTGAGCCCACCCGGCTTTCTCCCCACTAGGAGGCTTTTCCAAGCTTACGGTGGAATCAACCACCACGTGTCCACCTGCCGGGGGCTGAAAAGAACACTCTACTCTCCTTGTTCTTTACAGCAACACTGATCAGGGTCACTTAGGCTCCAGCGCTGGCCCCGCTGCTTGCGGTGGCGTCTCTCACTGAACCCTCACTGTGACCCGGCACCACGATGTGAGTGCCTCCCTAAGGCCACACGCTTGTCATCAAGAGGCCGGGAGAGGTGCTGTGTCCTCTGACTCAGTCCAGGGCTCCATCCTGGGGGGCAGACAGGGGACATAGTGGAAACGGAGCCCCTGCTGCCTAGTCCCCTCTGACGGTGGCTGCTCTCCCAGCAGGAGGGGGATGGGTTCTCACTGGAAAGCACCTCACACCCATCACCAGCTCCCCACTGGAGCCAGGCAACCCAGGCTTCTCACCCTCGCTCCTCTACTTCCTTGCTGGATGACCTTGGAAAAGCCCCTTTCCCTCTCTGTGCCCAGTTTCTCCATTGGGGAAATTGGTAACAATTACAAGACTTGCTTCAGAGGGTGAGAGAGAGCCCAAAGCCTCCTCATGTATGTTGGGAGCCCAGGAGGGTGCCTAGAACTGGGAGGTCACAAAGCAGCAGAGGCAGAGAGAACAGAGACCACGTGGGGACACTGGGTGGTCGTTGGGACATCATCGGACACACCGAGACTTAAAGGAGCTTTGCTTTTCAGAGATGAGGGCAGAGGGAATGTCCCCCCTCCTGGCTCTGGGGCTCCTGGTGGCTGGGTTGCGCTCCAGTGTCCACTGCCTCCCAGGGGGCGGGCTTGACCTGGAGGATGTGACCCCAGAGGACCAACACAAAGGGGCACCTGTGGACGACCACACATTCGTCTCCAGCAACACCGACTTCAGCCTCTACAAGCAGTTGGCTTTGAAGACCTCCAATGAGAACGTCATCTTCTCCCCCCTGAGCGTCTCCATGACCTTGGCCTTCCTGTCCCTGGGGGCCCGTGGACCCACCCCGACGGAGACCCTGGAAGGCCTCAAGTTCAACCTCACAGAGACCCCCGAGACAGAAATCCACCAGGGCTTCCAGCACCTCGTGCAGACGCTCGGCCGACCCAGCGACCAGCTGCAGCTGAGCTTGGGCAACGCCATGTTCGTCCAGGAGCAGCTGAATCTTCTGGACAAGTTCAGGGAAGATGCCCGGGCGCTGTGTGCCTCCGAGGCCTTCTCCACTGACTTCCGGGATTCCGACACTGCCAAGAAGCTCATCAATGACTATGTGAGGAATAAAACGCAGGGGGAAATTGTGGAGCTGTTCAAAAATGTTCCCCAGAGCACAGTGATGGTACTGGTGAATTACGTCTACTTTAAAGGTGGGTGCCCTGTTTAATTCAGAAGGAAACACACTTTTGGTTTTGTGTCTTCAGGGCTATTTCTGTCCAGCCTCTGCCAACTGTGTCGTTCGGTAAAACATTATAGAGCAGGCTGCTCCTGGCTGAGGGGGGCTTGGGCTCCAAGGCTCTGCCTCGATCATAGGCTTTGTCTATTTCGGGGTTTTCTAAATCACAGCTGACTGTGAGGGACTTAAGTGCAGGGGAGCCACTAACCCTTTGTCTGAGCCAGAGGGAGACTTTTTATTCTGATTTAAACTTGCCCGGCTGCCAGAAGGAAGGAGTTTTCGTCTCAGCTCTCTCCGGGGTGGCCGGGAACTCCAGGTTCCTCCCTAATGAGATGCTTTCGGACACGCTCAGGAAGGCCTCAGCTGTGTACACCGTGGGCTGTGTCTGACGGGCTCCGTCTAAGGGGACTTAGTCTCTGGTGGTTGAGGTGAGGCTGGTGGCCGTCTTCACAGTGTGACAGCCTCTGAGCAGCCTGGTCAACACAAGGAACTTCAGTTGTGTTCTTTCATGACTATGAGGGTGGAATTGGCAAGGCCATCATCTGAGGGAAGACTCAGAGGACAGCAGCCAGCAAAGACTCTTTCCCAGATTCTAGCTGGCCCAGTGCCCAGTCCCATTGATAGAAACTCAAGATTGCAAACCTCAGCCTGAAAACTCATAAGGAGCAGAGTGAAGGCAGATAGATTTCACACATAGAGCCAGCAGTGCAAATAGGGACACAGCATAGATAAAGACAGAAGGAATGACCGTTGAGTCAGGGGGTGGTCACGTGCCTAGGAGACACTAGCTCTGGGGAGACAAGTTAGCCCTGTGCTGGGAGCTCCTGGCTGCAGCCATGGCCAGCCCTCCTGGGTCTGTGTTTTCCTCTGTAAATGAAGGCATAGAATCCCATTTCTCTGGAAAACGAATCCAGGCCTGTCCTGCTATGTTTATTCTTTCAGTCTCCTGTGCTTTCCTCTCCTACAACCCTGCCCTGGTCTAGGACTTTCTCCTCCCAGATCTCCCCACCAGGGGTACCCCAGCCAGCCCTGCATTCCCTCTGCTCCTGCCTCTAACTCTGGGGACACAGGCAGGGGTGGAAACAAAGCAGGAAGTGGGGGTGGATACACACTCCATGAAGCCCCAGGGCCCTAATCTCCCCAAGAAGCCCCCATCACTGAATGCTCCATCCTCCTGTGGGAAGACCACAGCCCTCTCCTCTGCTGACCCCGCCCTGCCCTCCTGGTACCCATGTGGCTCCTGCTTCAGCCTGGCTCACAAGGCTGCGAGGACATGTGTCCTCCCTGCAAAGCCGGTGACTAACCACTGGTCTCTAACACTGTTCCCTTTAAGGACCAGGAGCTCCCATTTCTCCACAGTCCCAGCCTCACCCCATCTCTCCCTTGCCCTGTCCTGTTCCTGTTGGTTTCTCATGTAGCACAATTAACCAGGTTTGTTTCATGTCCCCCTTCCCAATCCAGAACTGTGGGCTCACCCCCATCCCCAAGGGCCTACCCACCTGCCCAGGTATATGTGCAAACCTAGCAGGGCCATCCCTAGAGGCACGTGGGGGGCTGCTGGTGTGGGGAGGGTCTCCCCCGCTCAGGGACCAGGGCAGAGGAGTGAGACGCCTGCAGCCCTTGCACCACAGACCCCTCACCTGTCCCTCCACCTCTAGCCCAGTGGAAGAAGCCCTTTGATCCCAGCCATACTTATAAGTCAGAGTTCCACGTGAACGAGAACAGGACAGTGGAGGTGCCCATGATGACCACTGGGGGCCTGGAAACGCCTTACTTCCGGGATGAGGAGCTGCCTGCACCGCGGTGGAGCTCAGGTGCACCAGCGACGGCAGCGCGCCCTTCATCCTCCCTGACGAGGGCAAAATGCACGACCTGGAGGCCAAGCTGCTCCCAGAGACGCTGAGGAGGTGGAGAGACTCCCTGCAGCCCAGGTGACTGTCCCCAGGACCCGGAGCTGTGGGCCCACCTGCCTTCTCGGCCCTTCCCCCTCTTCCAGGACTCCGGACCCGCAGCCCCCGGGCCTCAGTAATGTCCAGGGGCGGGGGCAGAGGTGGGAGGGCCCATCCAGGGGTGACCTTGCCCTTGGCTGCCTGCGTGGCTCTGGGCCTGAGCTGTTCCTTCTCTAAGATGATGACATCAGAGGGGGCGGGGCTGAGGGTTCCTCTGACACTGACATGCGCTGAGTCATGAGGATCTTCACACAACCCCAGGACACTCACGCTGTTCTCTCCGTGGCCCCACCTTTTGCAGGTGGAGGGGGGCAGATGGGACTGGGATCAGTTGGGGGCTCAGGTGAGACAGACGTGAGCATCAGCTTTGCACGGGCTAAACATTAATTCACTCATTTATTCATTCAACCATTCAGCACTGATTGAATGAATTAATTAAGATCAAGCTATGTCTGAGGGACTAATTTAGACTCTGAGGGTAGGTCAGCGAATAAAACAGTAAATTCCCTGCCCTAATGGCGCTTACTTTGTAGTTGGAGGAGACAGACAGGAAATAAATATAGTAAATTATTTGGTACTTTGAGAGGGGAGAAATGGGGAGGTGGGGATAGTAAAGCACAGTAAAATCTTGAAAAAAATGGGACCCGCAAGTAGCTTGTGATTGTAAGCAGGGTGGCCCTTAGGTGATGTTTGAGATGAGGGATTGAGCCATGTGCATATGGTGGGGAAAAGCATTCCTGGCTGAGGGAACAGCCAGTGCAAAACCTGTTTAGACAGGATGGAGCCTGGTGTGGTTGACGGTTAGTGAGGCCAGAGCAGCAGAGCAGAGGGAGTGAGAGGGAAAGTTGGGAGAGGTCAGGACCCCAGGGGGGATTCAGGTCACTTGGAGCCTTGCAGACCCCTCGACGCGCCCCCCTCTAAGGGAAATAGAGACTCATCACAAGGTTTTGGGCCAAAGAGTGAACGATCTGAGTCATGTTTTAAACGGATCACCCAGGTCATCCAGTGGAGGACAGACAGCCGAGGACCAGCATGGAGGCAGGGAGGCCAGCCGGGCGCCCAGTGCACTCACCCAGGGGAGCCGCTGGGGATGCACCAGGAGGAACCAGGAAGGGTGGAAGGGGTCGGGCTCTGGATAAACTGAGCGCAGACACACAGGCCAGGATGTGGAATTCAGGAGACCAATAACAAGGGGGACGGCAGAGGGAGAGGCACTTGTGGGCGCAGTGTCTGCTGCGGGGGAGATAGGGAAGCTTGTGGGCAGCTATGCAGATCCTAGGGGCAGCGGGTGTGGGAAGTACGTTATAAACCGCAAAGAATGAGAGACCTGCCTAGACGTGACATTGAGGCTGCAGTCCCTTCCCCAACCCCTGTCCAGGGGACCGGGCGCCTTGGGGCTGCCTGACTCTCAGCCCCTCCTCACTGCAGATCCCAGGAGACTCCAGGACACGGGACCCACCCTCCCCCTGCATGTACTCCCTTCCCAACCCTTTCCTTCCTCCAGTACCAAGAGCTACCACAGGGCGGGGGCTCAGTGAATAGTTGTAAATGGATAGAATATTCATCAGACATCTTTGATTTACCAGCACTGGGGGAACCAGCATCTACACGCCCCTGGCCCATGGAGGGCGCCCACTAAGAATCTGTTGAATGAATGGATAAAGGAGGGGGGAGGGAGGGAGGGAGGGAGGAAAGATGGCCTATGAGGAGGAATAGGTACCTCCCTGCTCCCAAGGCACTCAAAGTTTAATGGGAGCCACAGCCTCCTCGTATTTGGCATCTGTAAGAGCTGACACCATGACAAGAGTCTTAAGGGAAATAGAGACAGAGAGAGAGGAGGCATCTGTTGCTCCAGGAACCTGCTGCCACCTCTGCTCAGAAGCAGCTGCATCCCTGCCCTCAAGGAGCTCACTGGGAAGACAAGATAGAGATGTTGGATTGGTTGATTCAGGTCCCCAAGGCCCTTGAATGCAGCCCCCAGTCCTCCACGTCCCGCACAAGCCCCTTCCCGGCCCCTCCCCTCCCCACTGCCCGCACTCAGGCTGCCTCTGTGCTGTGGGGCAGCCCTTCTTTCTTCCCTCTTTCCTGCAAGTGCATCCTCCTGCCTCCTGGACTCCTCTTCGCCCAGTCAGCTCCGTCCCCTCCTCCGAGACTCAGGGTCCATGCCACCTCCTGCAGGAAGCCTTCCTGGTGCCCATGGAGCAGCCGCCCCAGCACAGTCTCCCGGAAGCTGTGGAATCCCTGTTGGAGGAGGGTGTTTCCCGTGCCCTACGGGTTTACAGGGAGAAGCAGGGCCAGATGTGGGCATCGCCCCAGCCCCAGCCCTTGTGCACTGCCCAGCACGTTAGATACCTGCCGACATGATGGATAATTAACGAATTAAGGAGAATTACCCCGAGGGGTCTAGAAACTGAGGAAAGGAGTCCTTATTCCAGGGAGAAAGGGGTAGCTGGAGTGGAAACCACAGAAGACCAAGCTGTGAGGTGGGAAAAGGAGGGCTCTGAGTCAAGCAGAAGTTCAAGTTTGTTTTCCTCATTTCCTAGACGGATAGATGAACTCAACTTGCCAAGGTTTTCCATCTCCAGCGACTATAAGCTGAGAAACATACTTTCCCAGCTGGGTATTAAGAAAGTCTTCAACCACAAGTCTGACCTGTCAGGAATCACAGAGGTCAACAAGCTGGGGGTTTCCGAGGTGAGTCTTTAAAACTTTGGACAATTCATCCTTCTTATAGGAGCTTGAATGGTGACAGACAGGTAGATGTTTGGCTAATTTTGAATTTTCAAATTCATTGAATTTCGTATAACTCACTCATCCCCCCTGGGACTCCCTAAGCCCAGGAGAGCTGGGTTACAATCGTGGTGGGGAGCTGTCCCCACTTTCCCTGAAATCTAATGTGACCCAGAAGTCTATCACTGGGAAAGATCTGAAATCAGCAGTGGACCCCATGCCAAGCTCTACTCTTCACTGCCTATCGAGTCAAATACTTAAAATCTCGTACCCCTCAGTGTTTTCATCTGTAAATGAGGGTGATAGTTCTTAGCCAGCATGCAGAGTCTAGCAGAGCAGGTAAGAGGTTATAGGTACTAACAATGGCTACAGGGCCATCGTGATGGAAATACACTAAGAGCACAACGCAAGAATACCAGAGGCCCTGGTACCGCAATCCTAGAAGCAGAGAAGTCAGAGTGAATGGGGGAGGCTGGGCAGCCCTGCAGTCTCCCCTGCACCCCACCTGCCAAAGGACCGGGTAAAGGAGGTGCATGTGCCAAGGGGCCTGCGGGGTCCAGGGATGGGAAGCCATATCCTACACAAAGTAGCCGAGGGCTCAGGGACATTTCCACTGGGGCAGGAGAGGAGCAAAAGCAGTGCCCACCCATCTGCTGCTTCGACATGGAGGGACTGTGGACAGTTGCCTGTAAGAAAAATATATTGTCTTGCCCCTCCCCCTACACTAGGGGGGCATCACAGTCTCTGGACTCAGACAGAGAGGGATCCAAATCAGGGAACCCCTGCTCTTTGCCTCTCTGACCCTGGGCCCAGCACTCGCAGCCTCACTTTGCACATCTGTGCATCATGACTGCAAGCCAGCTGAGAGTTTGTTGCGAGGACAAACAAATTGAACAGGTTGACAGCACGGTGACAGACAGCATCGGGTGAATGAATGCCAGTCCCCTTAGTGGGGGTCAGGCAGCTGCTCACATCCTACTCCCCTGTGTCCAGTGGGTGATGCTCTGGGGTCCCCACAGGTGGTCCACCAGGCCATGCTTGATGTGGGCGAGGAAGGCACGGAAGGAGCTGCTGCCACTGGAATCAAGATGGTGACTTCAACCTTACAAGCGTTCATTGCTAGTTTTGGCAGGCCCTTTCTGATTTCCGTAATTCACAAAGATACTCAGAGCATCATCTTTTTGGGGTAAGTCACCAAACCCAGTCAAGCCTAGGCCTCCCCTCTGAGTGGCGGGTCCCCTCGCTAAGTAGCTAGTAGCCCTGGTCCCTGGGAGCAGCCTGGCCCCTGTGCACCGAGGAGCCCCCTGCCTGTTCCCACCTGCTCACCCTTGGGAAGGTGACAGTGACTCTGCTGGAGGCTCCACATGCACAGGGAGTCTGTGCCTTGGTCAGTAAGAGGCTCCGAGCCCTACGAAAGCAATAAGCCACCTTCCTTGGACTGGACTCTTTCCTGTGTGTCTCCACCCTTACCTGCGTGATCCCATGCCATGGGCAGCCTGGGCCCCGAGGCCAAGCCCCCCGACCTCCCACACTCGCTCAGCCCAAGCCAGACTCTGGGCCCCTCGGCCTCAGCCTCACCAGCCGACCCAGAAGCAGGCTTTGTGCCTGTGACCAAGCCCACTGGACCTCAGGCCCAGGGCTGGGAGGGGCCCCTGCTGCCTGATGCCCACTTCCGGGGGCTCTGGTCCCAGGTCCAGGTTCACTCCTCCCTCCCCAGGGCCCAATGTGCCCTCGTGCTGACATTGCAGGGGCTCCAGAACCTGACCTCTTCTGGCACAGCCCCTGGACCCATCACTCCTGCAGCTGGGCTGGGCTTCCCCCCAGGATCTCCCTTGCTGCCCCCCAGCACCTCAACCTGGGAGACCAACTACTTCCAGGTTCCCAGCTGAGCTCCTCCAGCACCCGACGAGTTCCACATACTCCCCTGACAGAGGATCTCCCTCAGCAGCCAGAAGCGGGGTCCTGGGAATGAAAGAGCAGCAAACACACAGCCCTTCATCCCCCTGATGTGACAGGGGGCTGTGTCATCTCTAGGGAGAAGAGCTCCAGGCAATAATGATGACGTCACCTACAACAGAAGGGTTGAGATCTCTCTGCCAGGCAGCCTGCTCAGACCTCTACCTGGAATAACACATCTACTCCTTGAGATGATCACATGAGATACTTGCTGTTACTCATTCCGTTTTACCAATGAGGAAACTGAGCATCAGAGAGGTTCAGTCATTTCCCCCAGGGCCACACAGCTAAAAATCATTGCAGGCAGGTTGTTATCGCAACCTGATGAGTGTCAGAGGAACACTCCAAACCACAAAGCCATTCTGCCCATAAAGATTTTCACAGCCATGGCCCTCACGGGACTTAGGATATAATGGGCAAGATGGGTGATGAACAAAGGACTGGAGGCTGAGAGAAGAGGACCAAACTCAGTGGGAAGTCAGGGAAGGCTTCCTGGAGGAAGGGATTTCAATGCTGCCAGCCCAGGAAGTGTAGAAGGTTGTGGATGAACAGAGGAGAATGTTCGCAGTGGAAGAAAAAGTGAGGGGAATATTTTCAAGAAAGGGAAAGAAATTGAACAGGACTGGAACAGAAAGAAGAGGGGCTGTAGAGAGGATGGGGCCATGATGGAGCCACTGGAGCACTGGGGGCCTGGCAGCTCAGTAAGGAGTCTGGAAAGTTTCCATAGACCCCTGGGCAGCTTTAAGGGAATTTGAACAGAGGGTCTCTCTGAGCAGATTGGCATAGTAGAAAAATGACTCCAGCTGACGTGTAGAGAAGCAATTCAGGGCCAGGACAGGGATGCAGGCTGGACATTAAAGGGGATGTTGCAGGAAATGGGGCCAAAGTGGGTCCAGCTGGAGCAGAAGAGCAGGGATGAGTGGAAGGCTGGGAGGAGAACCGATGTTTCTGTGAGTGGATGTAGGGAGATGGCAGTAAAAGGGGGCATCTGGGTTTGACTCCTGGGTGATGACAGAGCATCCCCTGAGGAAGGACCCCCCGCAGGAGGAGCAGGAAGGGGACACCTTTGGGTTCGGACCCCAGGTGCGTGGTTCCGTGGAATCAATGATAGACTCTGTGTGTGTGTGTGTGTGTGTGTGTGTGTACATGCATGAACATGTGTAAGAAGACAGGAAGTCACTGAAATGTTTCTCCTGAGTCCGATGGTTCCAGAGGCAGTACAAACATTCTGAGAGAGTCTTTTTGTGTGAATTAACTTCTCACCTGCTTGAACCTAGGTGCTCGTGGCTGTTTGCCCCTTGGCTGGGCCTGCCTAGCATCGCCCTGGAGGAGGCTCAGGGCTGCATCCCTCCTGCCCTGGGTCCAGGTGTGCAAGGAGCTTGTGCCTCAGCCCAGGGCTCATCCTCATCTGGGTCTGGATGTTACTGGAGAAAGGCTGAGCCCTCCTCTGAGGGGGCACCTGGGCTCCAGATCTTTGAGCCTCGGGCTTAGCGTCCCTCTTCTCCTTCCCATGGGACCAAAAGGTCACCTACCTGCTGGTCGCCTACTGTTGGACTTGATGGGCCTCCCGATACTGACCACCTGCAACGACTCCCTGGTTCCTGTGTCATCCATTCCCTCCATCACTAACCAGAAAGGAATCCAGGGCTGAAAAGGCACCAACACAAGAAAGGACATGTCTTCGGTCTCTGTCATTCTGCCAACATCTAAAGCCCTCCACGTGCAGGCACTGGGCTGGTGCTGGACATTCTGGGTAGAGAAGGTCGAGCTGGAATTTGCCTCCATAGAGCCCACAGCCTGATGGGAAGGAGACGGTGAATGTGGATGCGGCAGCCACTCTGATGGGCACACACAGATAGCTGGTGAGTTCAGGATTGAGCCCAGGCTGGGGAAGTTGAGTTTGGCCTCCTGGAAGCACTGTCTTCAAATGCTATGTCCTGTACAGAGAAGACAGACAGGAGGAGGAGACTTGCTGTCAGTAAAGAAGAGAGAGTGTGCTGTGTTCCTGGAGCAGAAGAAGATCCTATGGTCTGGATCACAGAGTCTGGGGGAAATTTGGGTACCTCCTGAACTCAGGGGACCAACAGAGACAAGACCATGTCTTGTAAAGCATGTCAATAATTTTCTTTCTTTTCCAGCTTTATTGAGATGTAATGGACCTGTAACATTGTGTAAGCTTATTGTATACAAAGCAGTGACTTCATATACTTATATCTTATGAATAAGGTCACTTAATACTTCCATCTCCCTACATAATTATCATTTTTGTGTGTGGTAAGTATATTTAAGAGCTACTCTCTCAGCAACTTTCAAGTATAAATACAATATTGTTAACTGTGGTTACCATGCTGTACACTAGATCCCAAAATTTACTCAGCTTCCAACTGGAAATTTCTACCCTTTGGCTAACATCTCCTCATTTCACCACTCCTCAGCTTTTTGCAACCAACATTCTACTCTCTGCTTTTATGAGTTTGTTTCTTTTATTTCATATATAAGTGATATCCTACAGTATTTGTCTCTTTCTGTCTGACTTATTTTACCTGGCATAATGCTGTCAAGTTCCACCCATGATGTAGCAAATGTCAAGATTTCCTTCTTTCTTATGACTGAATAATGCTCATATATATCTATATCTATATCTCTATCTCTATCCATCCACCCATCCATCCATGCATCCACCCATCCAAGCATCTATCCATCCATGTATGTACCATTTCCTTTATCCATTCACACTTAAACAGATACTTAGGTTGTTTCCATAACTTGGTTATTGTGAATAATACTGAAATCAACATGGGAACGCAGATATCTTTTTGAGGTCGTGATGTCACTTCCTCTGGATATATATCCAGAAGTAGAAGTTCTGGATCATTGTGGAAAATCTATTTTTAATTTTTTGAGGAATCTCTGCAATGTTTTCTATGGTGGCTCTTCTGGTTTATATCCCACTAACAGTATACAAGTGTTCCCATTTCTCCACAGCCTGGACAACACTTGTTAATCTGTTTTCTTTTTCATTATAGCCATTCTAACAGGTGTGAAGTGACACTTCATTGTGGTTTTGATTTGTATTTTCCTGATGATTAGTGATGTTGAACCTCTCTTCATGTACCTGTTGCCCTTTTGTACGTCTTCTGTAGAAAAATGTCTATTCAGGTCTGCCCTTTTAAAAATCAGATTATTTATTTTATTGTTATTAAGTTTTTTGGATTCATTATATATTTTAGATATTAACTCCTTATCAGATAGATGATAAGGAGTTAATATCCAAAATAAACAACGTAACTTTACACCTAAGGAACTAGAAAAAGAACACACTAAGCCAAAGTTAACAGAAAGGAGAAAACAAAGAGCAGAAAAAAATGAAACAGAGACCAGAAAAACAACAGAAAAGATCAATGAAACTAAGAGCTGCTTCTTTGAAAAGATGAACAAAATTGACAAAACTTTAGCTAGTCTAAGGAAAAAAAGAGAGCAGACTTAAATAAATAAAACAAGAATTGAAAGACAGACTTTACAACTGATACTACAGAAACACAAAGGATTATAAGAGACTAGTATAAACAAGTATATGCCAACATTTTGGATAACCTAGAAGAAATGGATACATTCCTAGAAACATACAATCTACCAAGACTGAATGATGAAGAAGTAGAAAATCTAAATTGATCAATATAATTATGGAAATTGAAGCAATGATCAAAAATCTCCCAACAAAGCAAAGCCCAGGACCAGATGGTTTCAGTAACAAATTCTACCAAACATTCAAAGAAGAATTAACACCGATCCTTCTCAAACTCTTCCAAAAAGCTCACTCTTGCTGCCACTGGGAGTGCGCACAGGAAGCTGGCCGTGGGGTATGAGTGGGGCATGCAGAGCACTGCGGGTACCTTGTAGAAAAGCTGGGGGGATTCATGGGTAAGGCTTACCAGTGGCTTGTGGGCATCCTGATGGAGTCTGTGACACAGTTTGTAGCCTACACAACCCTGTGATATGTTCCAAGCCCTGCTTGCTGTTATTCCAACCCCTCACTGCTCCCAGGTGGAGCAGCTCAGGACTCAGTACTCTGGATGACACAAGAGAGAAGTGGGCTTCTTTGGCAGCATTCCACAGGGGTGGGGAAGGTAGGCAATCACTCACATGCTCTTACTTTCCCCAGTGGGAGAAACCACGGGCTGAGAAGGGCTCTCTGGGCATCAAGCTGTGCTGTCTTGGGAGAGCGGTGACGGGTAAGTCAAACTGTTCCTCTTACTCT